GTGACAAAACTCTGATTTTGAAACCCCCAGCTCCTTCCACTCCTTCCATCATTCTGTTCTGAGTTCAGTACCCTCCGTGTCAGCAGTTTAACTACGGAAAGAGCTGATTCTAATAAGTCCTTTCACACATGCCTCTGTCTTAGTCCAAGCTGCTGTAACAAAACACCATAAACAGGATGGCGTCAGGATTTCTTGCAGTTCAGGAGGCTGGAATTCAAGATCCAGGCACCAGCAGGTTGGGCATCTGGTGAGGACCCACTTTCTGGTACACAGATGATGCTGTCACACTGTGTCCCTCCCCAGAGGAAAGGGACAGAGATCACAGGCCTCCTTTATAAGGATACGAATCCCGTTCTGGAAGATGTCTTCACGGCTTGATCACCTGCTCAAGGCCTCACCTCCGCACAAGGTTACCCTGAGGTTGAGGATTTCAAATTATGACTTTTGGGCACTGATACATGTTGAGTTTAGACCACCATCATTCTGCAGCCTTTAACTGTTTGTTTGCCACCATACTCATTTTTCCACCCTTTCTGCTATGATTTCAAATAAATTCAGACTTGCTTTCATTTATTTCTCCCATAGTACTATTAATTTGCTATTTTTCTTTCAGTTTGCTTGTTTTACTTTAATTAAGTGAGTTTCCTTTAAAAGAAAACTTTCTAAAGTCAGCACTGTAAATGGAAAAACCAATTCTGTTTGGCCCAAATAGACTTATAGCTAAATATATGTACATAATCTATGAAAATAAATCACAGTTTCCTGTGTTATTAACTTCAAATTTAATATCTACCTTTGAGTAACAAGGGGAAATGAGGTGCCAGTGCTGCAGTGTAGCAGGTAAAGCCACTGACTACAGTGCCAATATGGGCACCAGTTTGAGTCTTGGCTTCTCCACTTCCAATCCAGCTCCCTGCTAATACACCTGGAAAAGCAGCAGAAGGTGGCCCAAATGCTTGGGCTCCTGCAGCCATGTGAGAGACCCGGAAGAAGCTCCTGGCTCCTAGCTTCAGCCTGGCTCTGCCCTGGCCATTGTGGCCATCTGGGGAGTAAACCAGCAATAGGAGACCTCTCTCTGCCACTGCCTCTGCCTCTGCCTCTCCGTAATTCTGCCTCTCAATTAAATATATAAATCTTTTTTTTTTTAAAGGTATGGAGGAGAATGAGTGAGTATCATGGAAATGTGGAGAATTGTACAAGCACCAAACTGAGATTTTCTTTTCTGTGATATAATCAAAAGTATAGAAATAACCCAATTAAAGTATTTTTTTTTTTACTCTGGGTGGGTTTTTGTTTTTTAGATTTATGTTTTTATTTAAAAGGCAGAGTTACAGAGTAGGAGAGGCAGAGAGAGACGCCTTGCATCTGTTGGTTCACTCCCCCAAATGGCCTCAACGGCCATGGCTATGCCAGGGCTAAGCCAAGAGCCTGGAGCTTCTTCCAGGTCTCCCATGTGGGTGGCAGGGTCCCAAAGACTTGGACCATCCTCTACTTCTTTCCCCAGGCAGTAGCAGGGACCTGATGGGAAGTGGATCAGCCAGGACTCAAACCAGTGCCCATATGGGATACCGTCACTGCAGGCAGCGACTTTACCTGCTACACCACCGTGCCAGCCCCTACTCTGCATCTTAGTGAACTGAATGAGTCAAATCACAAGTGCTATTTTGGGGCCATACCTGCCCTTTGCTGTCGTCTCTGCTTAATGGCAGTTTCTATTTTGTGGGCAGGACAGTATTGTGTTACAGTGGCGAAGTGTCTCACAATGCAGTTACACCCTTCTGTTCTGCATCCACACTCTGCCTTGACTCTAAATAGGTTATGTCATAGGGTGTGCAGTTGCAGGGACCCTGGCGCTATGTTAGTGCCCTTCAGTCTGTGACTTTTGTTCAGGCTTTGAAACAGCCTGGCCAGGTGGGCACTGTAGTGGAAACTGAGGCACAGAGAAAGCAGGTAGTCTGCTTAGGTCTCACTGCCATTGAGGGGACAGACCGGAACTCCCGCGTCTCTTCACCTGCTGCTCGTCCGGTGTCCTGTGTCCTGTGTCCTGTGGTGACCGCCTTGAGAGCAGTCAGTTTCTGGTGACCGGTAGCCACCAGAAAATTGGGAACAGGAGAGCTGGGGCAGTTCCCTCTTCCACAGTTTTATATGTAAACAAAAACATAAGCTGTTTTGGGAGAGGTGTGTGTGCATGTAGCATGCTGTGTGCTCTGTTGAGAAATGCTATGAAATGAAAAATGAGATTAATGTTTCAGATTGTACAGTTCCCTAATTATGCTTTTAATTATTCATATAAAACAAGTAAAATGACCCCTGACAGAGACATAAATGATTTAGGTAAAATCAAATATTTATAAGAGGATGCTGAGTCCCTGGGTGTATTGCAACAGATGCTTTGCCTTCGTCCTTTGGATGCAAAATGTTAGGTAGAGAACTTATAACAGGCTGAGAATCATCACCAGTAGTTAAGACCCCACTGAGCTAGTGCTTCGAAATCGTGACATTAGATCTAAAGGTATATGCTGGTAGAATATATTTTTATATATAAATTTTATATTATATATAGGGTAGATGCCAAATGCAGGAGTCATGCTTCTTTGATAAGAAAACTTAGGCACTGGGGGCTGGCACCATGGCTCAGTGGGTTAAGAGCCCTGGATTGAAGCGCCTGCATCCCATATGGGCGCCAGTTCTAGTCCCGGCTGCTCCTCTGCTGATCCAGCTCTCTGCTGTGGCCTGGGAAAGCAACAGAGGATGGGATATATATAATATATAATAATTTATATTTATATTATTATATATAAGTATATATAATAATTATATAATCATATAACTTTTTATATAATATATAATTATGTAATTTATATAGAAATTATTATATATAAATTATATTTTATATGTAAATTATATATGTAATTATATCTACTATTTTAGATATTTTTCCTTCTAAGACATATTGGAGGGGGGTCCCCAAAATGCCCGTCTCCCTGCCTGCTTGCACATTTGAAAATGATTGGAAGAAATAAAAAGGAAAGTAAAATTCCATGATACATGAAAATATTATCCAATTCAAATTTCCGTGATTAAATGTAATTTGACAGAAACATAGCTCCTCATTCCTCATTCATTTGCCTTTTGTCTTTGGCTGCTCCTGTGCCATAAAGACAAGATCAAGTAGTTGCACCACAAGGTCTACAAAGCCTGAAATATTTACTGACTGGCCCTCAGCATGGGATAAGTTTGGCAGCGTCTGTTCTACAACACAGAATAAAGGTAGAATATCACTGTAGCGTGTTTAATTGGCACAAGAACACTTGCTTTTACTTCTTTTTATCCTTTAATATGCCATCCTGCTAATTGAACATTCACTGTATATTTTTCAGAAGTTGGAGAAAAACTACGTTTTGAATGCGATAAAAAGGGATTTATATGAGCAGAGTTCCTTCACTTGCTTTTAATGCTTCTTTTATAGAGAGAAGTACTGAAACTAATTGCACTGTTTTAGAAATGGGTCATTAGTCTAGTCCCTGTCTTTTATGGAGACCTAATTTTCATGCAGGATTTCTCTCTAAAGCTTTAACTGGGATTTCTTTAGGGAAAGGAGAGGAGGATGACACGAGAGCTTTCCCATGGCTTACACAAGCTCAGCTTTTGATCATAACCCATTCAGTGTATTCGTTGGCATCTTATACGTATATAGCAATGAACAAGTATTTGTTGAATGAATGAATGGATCCATTTTAGAATAAAAAGAGGACTGTATCTCTTGTAGAATAGAAACCATTTTTATGTATTCTATAATTTCTTGGAAAAGAAATTTTTCCTGTTTATATATATCCAAGTTTTTTTTTTTTATTTCTCTTTCTGATGTTTCAAGGAAGAGAGGTATATTTTTGAAATTTAGAGTTTAAATTGGTTGAAGTTTCTTATGGATGCTTCCATGTGTTTTTTGGGGTGGACTAAGGGACATTTTCTGATGATGGGAATTAAAAGAAGCGATCAAGGGAATCCAGTATTTGAGAGACTCAGTGAGTAAATTTTGCACTGCAGTTGGCTGAGTAGCATTATCTATTATGAAGCCTATAGTCCCAAGTCCCAGCTGTCTTTCCACTGTTGTTGCCCCTAAAATTGGAAGAATACACAAGTTTTTGTTTGCTGAAGTCTAAGTTTTCTTTTTTTTTTTCTTTTGAGATTTATTTTATTTATTTGAAAGAGGTGCAGAGAGAGAGAGAGAGAAAGAGAGAGAGAGAGAAGTCTTCCACCCGCTGGTTCATTTCCCAGATGGCCGCAACAGCTGGAGCTGTGCTGATCCAAAGCTGGGAGCCAGGAGCTTCTTCCAGGTCTCCCAAGCAGGTGCAGGGGCCCAAGTACTTGGGCCATCTTCTGTTGCTTTCCAAGACCACAGCAGAGAGCTGGATCAGCAGAGGAGCAGCCGGGACTAGAACTGGCGCCCGTATGGGATGCAGGCACTTCAGACCAGGGTTCTTAACCCACTGAGCCATGGCGCCGGCCCCCAATGACTAAGTTCTCTTATCAAAGTGTGACTCCTGCATTTGACATCTGCTTCCCATCTCATGCCACACCTTGAGTATTGGGGTAGCCGCAGGTATCAGTGCTGAAGAAGACAAACCTTACTGCTGTTTTTATCCAGTAGACTTGGCAGCACGGATTCATCATGATTCATGATGCACTGTGTCACTGGCTTCACAGTCTACAGTTTTTTTTTTTTTTTTTTTTTTTTTTTGGTGTCTTGAGTAGTTATGAGATTCTGAGGTCCTTCTGTGAGCACGGTCACAATGCAGAGCCAATTGGTGATCGAAGAGCATTCTGTACCTAGACTGTTGTCATTTATTCAGATAGTGCCTTGGACTTGTTTTTTAACATGTATATAAGGAAGCAATTCACACCATGGTCATCCTGAACTTTACCAGAAGCCACAAGAGAAATCTTTAGTTTGGTTCTGAGACTCACTTTGTTTCTCCCCTTCTCTCTCTGTGTTACAGTCGCCATTCTTCTGAAAGATGACTATTTTGTCAGTGGTGCTGGTCTACCTGGCAGATTCAAAGCCGAGAAGGTGGAATTTCACTGGGGCCACAGCAATGGCTCAGCCGGCTCCGAACACAGCATCAACGGCCGGAGGTTCCCCGTGGAGGTGAGAGACACACAGGATCTCAATGTGGAACTGTGCTTCAGGTCTTAGCATTCGTGGGAGGCTATGTCCTTACCCTAAGGCATTTTGCAAATCAAACTTACATGCTACCTAATTCTATCTCTTTGGAAATCTTTTGTTGATAAGCCAGCAGATGAGTTTCTGATCCTTGTTTAGTGGGAAAAATCATGGGGAAGTCACAGGTGTTGCGGTTTAAGTGGACGCAGCCCTGGTCAGTGATGTTCAGTGTTGGCTGTGACACAGCTTCTTTTCATTGCCTGTTTTCTGAAGGTGACATTTTGTGTGCAACTTGGGTGACTTCATTGTCACCCTTTACAAAACAGAAAAGTTGCTGACCCATAAAGAGGAGTTCCAGAACTTTCTTTCTGCAGTGAAGCTACTTGACGATGTCTTTTCTGCTGTATGTTGAGAGAGAGAGGCTGTGCCCATCGGTGGTCTGAGTCTCTGTGGACTGTGCAGGGATCCGTGGTGACATTTGGCATCTGTCTGCAGACAGTTGGTGTCAGTCTTCTCACAGATCCGTGCTGCCTGACGCATGTAGTCTGGGCTGTGCCAGCTCATGGGCTGGTGTATATCTGCTGTGAAGAGGGGTGGGGGAGAGAGTGGGCCTCCAGCTCTGTTATTGATGGCTCCACTACTGATCTCAGTTTTTCTTTTATTCATGGTGAGTGTGTGAATATTATTTTGTTGTGAGGAACCTGCTTGTTCTTTGGTTTCCCTGGCGGTTAGCCTCGCACGTTTGTGGAAGAGCTGGGTGGGTGTGGTCCTAGCCTGTGGCTATGCTCACACATAGAGTGACTTGGAACCCGTAGTATATTGAGATCAAAAGGCTGAGGGGCCAAGGAAAGTTTTCAGCTCCTAGTGTTTTATGCCTTCTTTTAAGTCGGGCCCTGCTTTGATTATTTGATGAGTGCTTGAGACCCCCCCCTTTACAAAGAAAATAAATATGTACACAAAAATGTACGTGTAATTTTATAGGATTTCATCCTTCTCCCCAGCTCTTCAAGCCCCTTTGTGGACTCACTTGGTATCCTTTATGTTCAGGTAAACAAAACCCGGATGCGATGAAAAATTCACAGCATTTCTTTGTTTATAGATGCTCATATTGGTATATAGATTTGTTTCTTACCTTCTGCCCCTGGAGAAACCAGAGATAGCTACTTGGAGAAAAATGCTTCATTTTTGTTTCTTGTTTAGCTGATAAATTCTTGGTACTAGAATTCTCCCTGCACTAGGGCTCTTCTGTCTGTGGGACTTCCTGTCCCAGTCACACTAATTATGTGTCTCATGAGTAGGGTTTCCACTTAATGGGCTCTCCTCCACGCTGTAAATGGAATGAATCATTTCTTAGAAGTCTCAGCTTTATTTGTACTTGGGAAACTTGATTCCTAGAAGCAAAACAGCGTCATGTTTCTCAGTATGTGATCTCCCTTCTGGCCTTGCTGACGGCAGTGTGAGTCCAGGGGGTACTTTGTGGCCAGCTTTGCTCTGATGCCTCTTTGTCTTAGAACTGGGTTGCCATTTGTTCACTTAATGTAGTTCTGGACAAAAGGCCTGTGCATTAAACTTGAAAACTTAATCTGGCAGCTACCTTGGCAAAGAAGACCTCTGGCGCTAGGAAGTGGGAACTTTAGCCTAGTTCTTAATCACATCCCCTGATGCCAAGACAGCCCATCCCTTCCTTCTACTTGATTCTGGAAAGAAATGGGTAAAGTGGGTGTGTGTGCTTTTGAAACCTTCTGACTTTGAATGAATATGTCAGTTCTCCTTTACTCAAAGAGAGCCGTTGAATTCGGAAGCTAATTAGAAATGGCAGCTATAATGCCCAGGTTTATTGTTTGACCAAATTGTTGGGATTTTTTTCAAGTCATGTCAGATGGGACGGCAGACTATATTAATTGGATTCCTCATTGGAGTCCATCTGGTTCATAGCTTGCTTTTTAAAAAATGTGGTAAACTTGTGAAGTTACTCAGTAGTATATTGAGAAGAAGGTGAATTTCAGAGATTAATGGTAACTAACTACATCACATTTAACTTTTAAATGTGCACAGGAAAGTGTCTCTCTTTCGCCCCAAACATGTCTATGATATTTTGTGTTAAATTCTTTACTTAAGCTCTTTAGAAACACTAGCTCTTTCTGAGACTGTGATACTATTTGACCATCTCAGGCTTAGTTTATTTCTTTTCATATAACTACATTGCTTTCCCAGAAGCTAGAAGGAAAGTCAGAAAATTTTAATGTGTCTAATTTATCAGCCCTGGGGACATTATGTAATTGTCTTGCATGCATTGTGGTTCAGCACCATAGAAAGGCTTTGGTGAAGATTGTCCTGGGGGTGGTGGAATGCAATAGTACTTCTCTGCTGAAGACTGTGTTTCTCCATGGGCGTTAGGGAACGGCTGGAGACCTTTTTGGTGCGTTATTGGCAGTAGTCTGTGCTAGTTTCTAGTGAGCAGAGATCAGGGAGGCCCGTAAGCATCACCATATATAGGACAGTTCCCCCTAAAGGAATTAACTGGATCCAAAATGTCGCTGTTGGTAAGAGTGTGGAGTAGAGACAGCAATGCAGTTAGTGCAGTAAGCAAGCCTTCCTTAACTGATTCGGCATCATTTAAAATAGGCTTGAATAATGAGGACTTGTTTCTGGAGAAGTCATTCCATCCTCTTGTGGTTTTTAGAGAGGAAATGTACCTTGCCTCATGCGTAACAGCATGGCTGATCCTGGCTCCTTTAGATTCTACTGGAGATGTAGTCATGACCTTGGGAATTTCAACAGCTCCCTCACTGCTCCTGCTATGTGGGCTGAATTTTAATCATATGCCCCCACAAGAAGCTGGATCTGCTCCCTGAGGGCAAATTATAAGAAACCCAACTTTGCACATTTTGCTGCCTCCCAGGGATTCTTGGAGGTTACCTACCTCTTTGTAGCCATCCAAAAATTAGACCCCTCGACATTTTCCTGGCTGAAATCCTGAACTTAACCTTGTAGTTCCTACAGGGAAAAACAAAAATGTCCTTGAGAAAACTAAAGAAAACAAAAGCCCTTCACTATCCAGCATTCTTTACAGCTCAATTAAAGTAGGGAAAGAACATTGGAGGTGGATTACAATGCCTTGTCCAGCAGAATGGAACCGGTTTTGGGTCCTCTGTTGTCGTCTTACCTATTATCCAGCTTTATTTCTTGCTGTCTTGAGTGTCTTCTGTTGTATAGGTACTGGGACATAGAAACCAGAAAGGCATGATCCCAGCTCTCTCTCAAGGCCTTAAGTTCCAGTGGTGACACAGAAATTGTACAAGTAGTCACATAAGTAGTTGTGTAATTTTAGTTGTGATATAGTCTCTGAAGCAGATGGACTTTTTGCCTGGAGACAGTAGTATTTACAAATATGGAAGAAATGAATTGGAGTTCAACAGGGATAGGCAAAGCCCTGAGACAGGTGATATTTGTTTAGTTTAAGGAATAAGGAGAGGTCAGTGGGGGTTTTGTAGGGAGGATAAGACACTGGGCCCCACCACAGTGCTCCACTTGCTAATCCCCAAAACCTATGACTGTGTTGTTTAACATGTCAAAGGGGCCTTTGCAAATGCTGTCGGGTATCTTTAAACGGAAAAAGATCACGATATACTATGATTACTGCTATGGAGTCAGAACTCCTCATTCCAGTTCTTCCAAGGCTTCTGGGCTTTCTGCTGTCTGTTCCACTATAGTTTTTAATAATGGCGTCTACATTATCCTGAATCCCCCCGCCCCCCCCTTCCCTGTTGTAGCAGTTGGTAACTTAAAGAAAAGTTCGCATCACAGTAACAGGCATTGGATCATGCATGCTTCCTCGAATAACTCAAGTTGGAGTTAATTTGAAGAGAAACCTCCAGATGAAACCTCTGAGAGCTCTATTATAGTAGAGGTTCATTGCGTGCTTATTGTCTGCGGTAATTAAAATCTTATTTATTACAATGAGAGATCACAGAAGTTGTTGACTCAAACTTATTGGTGCTTTATGAGTTGAAGTCTTCAGTAAGCATAAATGATCCAAATTGATTGTGTGTGCCCTTTGCAGTGAAACTCACAGCTGGTTCATTTCAGTTCTGTTTAGAGCACCTTAGCAAGTGAATAGGAGCAAAGACATTTTTCCTAATACAGAACCGTGTACACATTACCATATGGTGCAGGTCTACAATCCCTTATCTGAAACCATTGAGGACAGATGTTTTAGAATTCAGAATCTTTTCTTGAAAGGTATTATAGTACATGTGCCATATTTATTACAGAAGGCACACCATAAATGCATTAATATTTCTGTAGCAAGTGGATGAATAGTCACACTTAGTGGAAATAGCAATGCTCTAAGGAGCTCTTCACCTCAAGATTGTTCCCCTTAAATTCGTTTTTTTTTTTTCCCCCAGTAAAATAAGAATGTATCAGTTGGTTTTGGAAAGCTGGCCAAGACTTTTGTGTGTATCTTGGTTTCATCTCAGAGCATGTTGAGTTAATTGTCTAACTGGAGGGCGTGATACATTTTACTTCTCTTTTCTTGTCAATATCTTGATCAAAGTTAAGAGTTGTCCAGAGAGACAGATGATGCTTCATTATATGATTGATTCCTATTTTATTTGTTTTAAGATTTATTTGTTTATTTAAAACAGTTACAGAGGGAGAAGGAGAAAACAGAGAGTGAGAGAGATCCTTCATCTGCTGGCTCACTCACCAAATGGCCTAAATGACCAAGGCTGGGCCAGGGCAAAGCCAGGCGCCAGGAGCTTCTTCCAGGTCTCCCATATGGGTGCAGGGGACCAAGAAATTGGGCCCTCCTCTGCTGCTTTCTCTGGCACATTATTAGCAGGGAGACCTGCACCTTGAAGAAGCTCCTGGCTCCTGGCTTTGGCCTGGCCCAGCCCCAGCTGTGTGGCCATTTGAGGAGTGAACCAGCAGATAGAAGATCTTCCTCTCTCTCTCTCCCTGTCACTGTCTCTTTCTGTAAC